CTTTCCCTCTGTTCCCCGCCACCCCGGGTAGTGAAGGAAAAATCCGTTGTTATATTAGTACAAAGCCAAGCACCATGGAAGGCCCAACTAAGATCAGACCCCCTATGTGCTAGTGTAATAGAGAATATTTACTTCTTTAAAATGTCTGAATGCGAACCTAGTATCCTTTTGTTTGTGGCTGTAAGGCGAGGAATCCAAAATGCCCTTCTTATTTATACACACAGATAATCAATTTGGTTCCACAGCTATCCATTTCCAGGAAAGAGTCTGACCTTACAGTATCATCCTAATGCTCAGGAATTTTTATCCAGCTTAGATCAGGCCAGTGAGAGCAAAATTCTTTGAAAAGAAAACCCTTCAAAAATCACTCAAAGTGACACATGTGACATTTCTAGTACCTACTGACATTTCCAGTCTTTCTTTAGTTAAGATAAGCAGGTATAAAAGAAGGTGGTAATATTGCTTCGTGTATCATCTTAATGGGCTAGAAATAGTGGATTGACAAATACTGTATCTGCCATTCCTGCCTGCAAATGAGTATTTCCATGTTCAGAGGCACCCAGACTCTATTCCAACCATTTGCCACACCTCTAAGATTTAGCAGGATGATTATTCCTGGGACTCTCTTAGAATGTGATGTCAAAGTTAACTTTCTTAATACCTTTTCAAATGAGTGTTGAGATAGTAGGGCCAGACGTGTCTGTAAATATACAGTTCTAATCCTCATTTTCAGTTTGCAGCTTCTCAAAGCTACCTGCTGCCCAGGGAGAAGGTCATGGTAACTTTCCTGCCACAAAGGCTTCAGAGCGAGAGAATGCTTCACTTTTACTTAGGCCTTGAGACCTCTGAAACCAAGGTGATTAAACTTAACTAAAATAATGTGCAATTTCTTGCATGGCTGTTCCTAGGGACCCTAGGCAACAGGCTTGTTATTCTTTCAGTACAAGGTGCTACCAGCTGAGTTTTACCTTATCAGAGAGTACTACCCTGTCACAAGTAAAGCATGTCAGAGCTAGTGACATGCCACAAAGAGCTGCTTAGTTAATTACAAACATTAGTTGAGTCAATAGATATCATTCAGGCTGACAGTGCTTCTTTCAAAGAGTTTAGTTGGTCAGTTGTTTTCCCAAGCGTATTAAAGTGTATCTCATTCCTGAGCCTGCTGCATGGAAACACAGCAGTCCTCCAGAGGGAAAGGCTCAGTGTATCACTCCACTAAATATCAACTCTGTGTATTAAGGAGGAGAAGGGGGAACTTGTACTTTCAGCTTTGCTCTGACATGATGCAGCACTCACATCTCTCAAAATCATATGAACTGCTTCAGCAGTCATGCATCCATCAGAGAGAGAGAGTTTATGCATGTTTATTGGGGCATGAGAAAACTTTGCAGCTCAGTCTCATTATCAATTTTCATTATCAAGCATATTACACAAATGTACCATGCAGGTCACTGCCAATATGACACTTACCAATTTGCAGTTCTGGGTACACTTCGTACAGACACCAATCCACCTTGCAGTCACAGTGGGTTTTCTCAAAAAGATTATCTAAAACATCCCGTGCCACCTGCCGCTCATCCACCATCAGTGACTTAGTGCTGTTATCATTCATGTGCACCTTGACGACAAGCTGAGTACAGACGCATAGAGGAGTCAGTTAATTTCAGCACTGAGTAAAAGACTACCTTGATCATGAATCTGCTAAAACAGATAAGAAAGATTCAGGCTGAAGGTTATTTCTGATTCAAAGGCGCCATGTACCACACTGAACTGGGGGGATAATACAGCTTGGGAGCTGTTACATTGTGTTGACACCAAATTAAAAAAATCTTTTGTAAAAAAGGGAAACTGAACTTTGTACTGAGCAAAACTCCAGAAATCAGTGAAACGGCTGACAGAGAATATGGCAGAATCTCAGCTCTGCCTCTAAGTCCATGGGATATGCAACAAAGAAAAATGCTTGGTATAACAACCAAGTACAATGGGATGAAATACCCGTAATGAAGGCCAGAATTACTGAATTGGATGGTTTTGTGTTTAATGAAAAAAAGAATGAAGGATTCTTGCTACACTAATCGGGTAACCTGGAATCAGATGATACAGTGATAGCTACCAGTGCAAAACCCTTCAATAAAGAGATTATGCATTACAGTGACTGAATGATCCCCAGTTCATGGTTATTATTCCTTGATGCCATGAAGTACTTTCTAAACAAGAAACAACATACACACTGCATGTGTGGGTGTGGGTGTGCATGCTAAACTATAAAAGACTAAATTGAAAATGGCAAATATGCCACAATGGTCAAATCATGCACTTCAGCAAACAATTTCCTATCAGGAACCATACACAAGAGAATGAGAGAACTTCTCTCTATGCAGCAGTTTTAATAAATGCTGATTTTAAAATGTTTGCATAGGAAACTTCTGATGCAAGAGAGAAAACCTCTATGAAGGAGAGGTAATAGCAGAGAACTAAGATCAACAAGAAAAAGTCCTTGCAGTCTTTTGAAAAGAAAAAATGTACACCAAAAGCTGAATTGTATATTTACTCTGGTTTCAAGCCCTCTAAATGTTGTTTTTTCCTAAAATAAGGAGCCCATCAGTAGTGGAGGATATGTAGAAAATATATTGAATATACATAATCTAAAACATGTCTAGGAAAAAGGGGAAGTTATTGTCTGGTCCCAGTGCTTTGTCTGTTTGGAAACATGCCTGCAGTAGTTTTATATCATTTGCATTGCACTAAGCCACAGGACATTTAACAGCCTCTGTCTCTTCTTAGAGCAGAAAAGACCAGCCCTGTCTAGAATTTTATTTTAATTCTCCCAGAACATCAGAGTTATGACAGCATGGATATTTAACAATGGGATGAACCAGCAGAGTCTAATTCTAAAATATTTAAGGGTGTCAAAACATTTCATATCTTAAAAAGGCTGCAAAATAAAAATTAAAAAACTGATACATTGTCTCCCAAAATGATGGTCACTTATTATGCAAGTTAAGAGAGAACAAGATGTGATGCAGTGGAGAACACCTCTCATTACTTCTTCCAACATATCCTCAGGAAAGTCTGTGTGTTTCATTCCATGTGGGAGATGTCTCAAACACAGACACCCACCCCATAATTCACTGGAAGCCTGAACCATTTTTTTCTGAAGCTTGTAGTATCTCATCTCTGGCAGCACTCACGCGTTATTCAAGTAGAACTGAAAATTTCAGTTCATCCATGGGTCTTAGCTTTTCAGAGCCCCTGGACTGCAGCTCCTGTTGAATGCAACCAGGATTCTAGGGCCTCGTCACACTTTACACTTAGGACATGTTCTATTTAGATTATACTAAGTATTACTGCAAGCCAGAAAGTTTTCTGAGCCATCACATGGTAATGCTTACTATGATCTTAGCCCTCTGGATAGGGCTGGAGCCTGGTGCAGGGGACAAACAGCTGTCTGTCAGTCCCAGCCCTTGCACTTCACAGGAGCTGGTTCAAACCCTTTAGTATGGTGTCAGGGCTGAGAGCCATAACCAGCTGTTTGTCAATCTCAATCCCCACCAAAGTCCTGAACTGGCTCCAGTGGTGTCCCAGGATTGGGACCAACAAACAGCACTGGAGCCAGTGAGGACTGTTTTTATTATCTCTGTACAGCAGTCCCACGGTAGTTGAACATATGTTACTTAATACCATTTAGAGATACTCCATACTCTTTGCCACAACATGATGGGACTTAGCATGTGTTTTACTGCTTAAAATAGGCAGATGCTGTCATTTTAAGCACATTTAAAACTTCTGAAGTGTAACATGCAACAAGACCCCTAACTCAATCATAGAAATCTAGGGTTGGAAGGGACCTCAGGACCATCCCCAACTAGATCATTCTATCCCGGGCTCTCTCAAGATGGGCCTTAAAAGCCTCCAAGAATGGAGATTCCACCACCTCTAGGTAACCTGTTCCAGTGCTTCACCATCCTCTTAGTAAGAAAGCTTTTCCTAATATCTAACTTAAACTTCCCTTGCTGCAACTTGAGACTGTGGCTCCTTGTTCTGTCATCTGCCACCACTGAGAACAGTCTAGCTCAATCCTCTTTTGAACCCCACTTCAGGTAGTTGAAGGCTGCTATTAAATCCCCCCTCAGTCCTCTCTTCTCAAGACTAAATGAGCCCAGTTCCCTTAGCCTCTCCTCAGAAGTCACGTGCCCCAGCCCCTGAAGCATTTTTGTTGCTCTCTGCCAGACCCTCCCCAACTTCTCCACATCCTTTCTATGCTAGGGGCTCAAAACTAGACATAGTACTCCAGATGTAGCCTCATCAGTGCAGAACAGAGCGAAATAATTACTTCCCTCAATCTGCTGGCAACACTCCTACTAATGCAGCCCAGTATGCTGTTAGCCTTCTTGGCAACAAGGGCACACTGCCGACTCATATCCATTTTATTGTCCACTGTAACCCCCAGATCCTTTTCTGCAGAGATGCTGCTTAGCCAGGCAGTCTCCAGGCTATAGCAGTGCATGGGATTTTTCCATCCTAAGTGCAGGACTTTGCATTTGTCTTTGTTGAACCTCATGAGATTTCTTTCGGCTCAATCCTCCAATTTATCTAGGTCACTCTGAATCCTAGCCCTACCGCCCAGTGTATCTCCTGTATCTCCCAGCTTGGTGTCTTTCGTGAACTTGCCGGGAGTGCACTCCATCCCATCTTCCAGATCATTAATGAAGACATTGAACAAAACTAGCCCCAGGACCGACCCTTGAGGCACTCCACTTGATACTGGTTGCCAACCAGAGACTGAGCCATTGATTACTACCTGTTGAGGCCGACAATCCAGCCTGCTTTCTATCCACCTTACAGTCTATTCATCCAACCCATTCTTCCTCAGCTTGCTTGCAAGAATGCTGTGGGAGATGATATCAAAAGCCTTGCTAAAGTCAAGATATCAAGCAGTATTGCCAACCCCACCATGCCAAAAATCATGAGACGAATTCTTAAAGAAAATAAATTAAAAAAATCAGGACATTGGCATGTAAATCATAAGATACTATTTTCAAAGTGTGTGTGGGGGGGGGAGGGTAGGGTGGAGGAGGGGTTATTTGTGAAGGTGTCAGGGGCTGTGTGTATGTGGGGTGGGGAGGGGCTGGAGCCTGGAGAAAGGGGTCTCCATACACCCTGGCAGGATGTGGAGTACTGTGGGTCAGGAGGGAGAAGCAGCAGCAGGGCTGGGCAGGTGGTGGCTTGAGAGTAAGGGGTAGACACACAGGGACACCAACTTCAGCTTTTTCCTCATCCTCTGTCACAAGGTTGCCTCCCCCATTCAGTAAGGGACCCACACTTTTCCTGACCTTCGTCTTGTTGCTAACATTACTTGTAGAAACCCTTCATGTCCGTTGCTGGCTGCAACTTGAATTGTGCTTTGGCCTTTCTGACTTCATCCTTGCATGCCCGAGCAATATTTTTACACTCCTCCCAAGTTCTTTGTCTGCGCTTTCACTTCTTGTAAGCTTTCTTTTTCAGTTTAAGCTCAAAGACTTCTCTGCTAAGCCTAGCTGGTCTCTTGCACATTGGGATGTTTTTTTCTTGTGCTCTCAGTAAGGTTTCTTTAAAATACAACCTCTCCTGGACTCCTTTACCCTCAGACTTGCCTCCCATGGGATCATGCCCATCAGTTCCCTGAGGGTGTCTAAGTTTCTGCTTTTCTGAAGTCCAGGGTCCTTACTCTATTGCTCTCCTTCCTTCCTTCCTTTTGTCAGGACCCTGATTCATTCACCTTGTAGTCACTGCTGCTTAAGTTGCCATCCACTTCTACATCCCCCACCAATTCTTACCTGCTTGTGAGCAATAAGTCAAGAAGAGCACAACCCCTAGCTGGTCCAGTCTTCATGAAAGTTGAGCCTTTTTGTACTGCCTTCCTCTCAAAATGACACAATGAGAATTGGCAATAAATGCCCAGTAACATTAAGAAGAGCAATATGACTAAATCCATGGGTGGCTGTACACAACCGTGGAGGCTGCTCTGATGTGCTGCAATTACCACACTCCACCAGCGGTAATTACCACGCTCCAGCAGCCTTCTGAATCTTGTGCATCAGCGTCCCCGTGCATCAAAATGGTGGCAGGGGTGTTTGAATTAAAGCTTGTTAAACAATCTTTAGTTCAAGCACCCCCACTGTCATTTTGAAGCACAGAGACACCAATACACAAGATGCTACAGTGCTTTAATTAGAGCTGGGCTTGGAGCCACTCCAATCGAAGTGCTGCCCCCCAGCCCCAGAGCATGTGTAAAAGTGCCCCATGTGTCCTGTTTTGAAAGAGTATGGGTTAATGTTCTTCATATCAGAGGGCTATGATCTAATATTTTATCAGGGATTTGAATTCCTTACAAGAATGTTATCTGGATTCTTGGTTTTGTCTAGATTTTGGAAACAAATTATTAGAAATTTTCCAAGCAGTTTCACACCTAATGTAGAAGTAGAGAAGTGGAATACTGCTTTCTAGTATGTGACAGAAAAGGAGGAGTAGAAGATCACTCTAAAGGGTATTTTGTAATATCTAAAAGGTACATATAAAATAAGCCTAATATCATAAATAACTGTATTACAGTGAGCAATGGCAAATATTAAGTTATAAGCACTTAAACAAGACTTTCAGTATTTAAAGTCCTACCTTTTTAACCTTAGCTTCCTTCAGTTTTTCCAGTGCAAGTTTAATCTTGTCTGTTTTTGCTTGTGCCTCCTGCTGTTCCTGAAACAACAGTAATATATGCATTAAACTTTGCTGTTTTTATCTTAAAAATAGCTGTTCCAAGTTATTTTATACCATTGTCACCAGGCCTGTCAAAAGAAACATAATTATCAGAGATTTTAATGATAGGGAAAAGAGGAATTTCCCATGGCTTAGCTGCTGTGTAATGTTGTATTTTGATTCACAAGATGGAAGTCTCCCTGTTGCTCTGCCATAGATTTCTTACCAGATAGTGACATGGCCACATTCACAGATTGAAGCTGAAAGGTCTCCCCTATTTATTCAGACTTATGCAGTAGTCAGAATCCCACTGATTTCAATAAGAGTTGGCTTGGGGATGGTGTCTGCTCCTATGACTGACCGACATGGCTTGCTCCCATTGCCACGAAACTCTGTAGTTCTAAATCTGGACTTCTGGATCCAAATTTGCTGCAGGATTCCAGGTGACAGCTGATGGTGACTGTTTTTTTCCCACTTTGTGGTTGATGTGGTTTCTTTCTGAGTTCTTTATTGGGACCTATGTCTAGGCTGCAACCACCTGTGACTTCTGATGCTGCGGTGTGCAACTAATGCAATCATGAGACTTTTAGTTTCATAGTTATTAGAGTCAGAAGGGACCTATTAGATTATTGAGTCTGACCCCCTGCCCTGGGCAGGAAAGAGTGCTGGGGTCAGATGACCCCAGTTCTCTTCAAACACTCAAAATCAACTCCCCAGATACAGAACAGTCTCTTCTCTGCTTTTTCTTTTCCTTTTTGGGAAGAATCTATAGCTTTTGACTAGCTTTTTCCTGTCCCTAATATTTTTTTTAAACCTCCACAGGCTTATTTCAGAAGGGGCAGGCTTTTGTTCCTATGGTAGCTGGATCAAAACCTGCAGTTTGAAAGCTTTTGGAGTCACTATTCCAAGTGGTACTGCCCTTATCCTAGAACTAGGGAGGTGGGGGTGGTGGGGGAATGAGATTGTTTTTAAACTCCTGGGGACTACACTTACAAGAGACATGTGAGACTAATTTAGCATTGCTATGAAGACCTCCTCACACAGAAGAGCTACTTACTATTATCTTTCTGGCTGTCCTAATGTTTTCTGCAACTATTCCCTCTTGATGCTGCCATGATGCCAATCCGTTAGGATGTCAATATGCAAAGCATGAAAGGTTAAAAAAAACAAACAAACCCAATCAACTCCCACCCCAACTTCTGCATGTATGACTACTGAAGTCAGATTCTTAGCTGTGAATGTCAAAATAACAGTTCATGGGAATTTGCATCTCTAGGGCACTACAGCTCAGGGTAACTAACTTTGACAACCTAAAAGTAATTTCTTTGACCACATGTATTTTAATGAGGTTTGAGGTTTTGGAGTGAGAGATAAGTAAGCTATCAGAATGTAGTCTCTACCCCAAATACCTCACTGCAGGAGTCAAGTAAAAGATGTAAAAAAAAACAAACAAACAAACAAAAAATGTGGTTCTGTAGTCTGGCTTCTTGTTGAATAGCTGGAAAATGTGTATACCAGACTTCTTCACCAGTAAATTGATACATGTTGAAATAGGCTCACACAAAAACATAAAACTTTGCAACAGGCTTCTCTCCCCACCTAAGAACATTTAGTCTTCATAACCTTTGCCTTTAAATCGGTGCAAATAAAGAAAACAGTAGACATAGTAAAAAAAGTGATCAGGCTAGCAATAATTTTTGTCACCATTAAATAAACACTCTGACACTTGACAAGATTTGTTTTCTACTAAACTTTTATCAACCAATTCTCCAACGTTTCAAATAGGAATGTACAGATCTAATCCACATAGCACTATCAGAAAACTAAACCTCTTATTTAGCTTCAGGACAATTTTAAAAAGAAATGTCAGAGCTGATAAAAAACTGAGACTCCATGCTTCTTTAGAAGAACAGCTGTATTTCTTTTTTATTTCAGCATTTTAAAAGAACATAGCCCTAATACCACAGATATGAGAACAACTAACTCTTTAATCTAAAGATACCTAACACTATTAAGGAAAATGTCAAATATCGATTTGTTGGAAGACTACCAATCAAATGATTTGACTAAAGGGATTATGAAGTGGGACAAGCAAAGAGTTTCTAATTACACCTGCATTTGGCAGTCCTAAACACACTGTATCACATCAAAGAAAATATTCATTGGCTGAGACAGTAAAGAAAAAATTTTTGTTTAATCA